ACTGGTCCTCTAAAACGTCTTTCAACAGCCACCTTAGCTTTCCCAGGAGGTCTCACATCCAGGTACGGACCAGGCTCATACCTGCTTAGCTTCAGTGGTTGCCAGTTGCAAGTTGCAATGTGATATAGCTGGCAATATGAGGCACCTAAGGCTCCAAAACCAATTTGCTCCACCTGTTAAGACCAATGCCTACATGCCATGGCAGTGAGCAGGCACATGCTTCTCCAGGCTCTAGGAGGATAAAAGGGCCCAAAGTGTATATCGCAGAAGTTCAGCTAATGTCGCTTCCAACCCTAACTACATACAGCACACTACAAACCTGCAGCTTGCAACCATGCACCCTTTTGATACCAAAGGTTGTTTGATATCAAAGAATTGTTAATAAATTCAGCATAATATATTTACCTACGTCATGTCTGTTCAATAAAATGTCAGTGTATTTTCTGCAAAATATATTATGTTCCTGGAACTTTGCACATTTTTGTTAAACTCCTTAAACTTTGCTTGATGTATAGTATATAGTCTGTCACTCAATGTCTCTCAACCTGTCACTCAATTTTTTCCTTATTATGTGTAAATACAGTATGAACAATTTCAAATATGTATTATCCAATTGAAAAAGTCTGCCAGGTCTTTACATCGAGTTAATACAGAGAGGATTATTAGTTGAAGGTCTGTGTTTCAAGCAGCCAGTCATATTTAGCATTGGTTTTAAACAAAAAATATTTCAAGTTAAAGGTGCTGAATTGGTTCAGAATCAGATATTGCTGTGTATCTTCCTTACATGTGAAGGACAGGAAGTTCTTTGCTAGAAATGCTTAAATTCATGTTTATTGATTAACATAACATTTCCAGTATTATGCTTTCAAATACCATCTGTTATCATTTTTTCTTTTGTTTTGACCTGTTTATTTGCTTAAATTGGTGAATCAAGCCTTCTCAAGTGATTATTCATTCAATGATGTCTTCACTGGGATTTCTGCATGACATGTTTCAATAGTGAAAAGTTTGCCCAAAGCATTAGTTGCTTGCAATTGAAATGAGGAAGACTGCACACAAAGGTTTAATATAGGAGGTCCACTATTGTCTGTCATAATGATTACATAATGATGACATTGTTCTAGTAGTGAGAATATTTCTCTGTCTGGAACATTAGAGTACCTCTGTCTATTTTACAGAGCTGACTCAGGGTACCTATAGAGCTCTGCAGAAAACTTTTCGAGGTTAGGTTAATTTTGTCCTGTGCCTGACATGGAATAAAAGCAGCATAACCTTTGCTGGTAGAGGCACTTCCAAAATACCTATTAAGACAGCAAGACTTAGAAAATAAAAAAATCAGATAAAATTATTTCCAGAAATTATACTGTATATATGGAGATGTTTTTTTCACGCATCCTTCAAAGCAAATAATTTTCAACCAGTAAAGCATTCCCCTGGTACAGCTGCCAGATTCAATTCCCAACAGGCATTAAAGGGACAAAAAAAAGGACCAAGTAAATCTTATGAATCACAGATGAGAAGTGCAGATATTTTGTCATGTTATCCCTTCAGCCTTTGTAGAAAGAGAACCAGTTATGAGAGCTTGGTTATTACCAGGCAGTGAGATGAACTTTAATGAATGAAAACCACAATGCTTATTTCATTTCATGTCTGAGGAGTCTTAGTACTGATTTACTGTATGTTCTGGAGAATATTTCCAGACCATGACATTCTTTCTTCTGTCATAAATTATTCATTTAATGCTTTCCCTCTAATTGCTCTTAGCACTCTCTTTTTGTAGAGGAGGTAAAAGATCCCTGTACCTTTGAGACTTGGAAGGATCAACCTAAATGCATGTTGAGCCATTGATTACAAGATTGAGTTTGTCAGTCTGTCTTTCATGGGCTGCTTTAATTTATAAGAAGTGGAGTAAAACCCAGGTTGAACAAACTCTTAATTGGGATTCCAGGTAATGTGAGCCATGACAAAGAACCAATGACGAATGGAAAGATTAAGGAATGACCACAATACAACACTGAAACTCTGGTTTTGAGGACTGGATTTTACAGACATCGGGGGAAGACGATTGTCTTTTGTTTAGTACAGAGTTGTAAATGGGTGAGTCACACAGCACTGAGTCTGGAAAGGTTTGGCATTCATATATGGCTTACTTCTAAAGCCCTGTTTTCTCCAGACGCTTTCCCCCAGTATTCACTCATTTGTCAGAAGAAAAACATCCTTTATCTCATCCAGTGAAAGCATGACTGTGCCATGCCACCTGCACTGCTTTTGCATGCTGGTTTAAAAAGGTATGAAGTGAATCACGGCAGAATATCCTAGATCAATTCATGCTGGTGACGGACTGCGAGATGATTTCACTGCTCTTGGGAGGTGGGGGGGCAGTAGTCTTTGGCTCATCACTGGGCTTTTCATAATCTACAAGCGTAGCACCCTCTAAGGGTTTTTCCTTTTTATTCCCTGTAATTTGTGGGGAGTGCATGCAGTAAGATTGACACCAAAGGGGAAGAGAGAACTTATTTCCTGTGGAGTGTCTCCCACACTTCTTACGGTTCATTGTTCTGTCAGTATGCCTCCAACCCAATATTACCTCTTTTATTACTGAAAGCAAGGTTTATTATTAAACTTTCATATTGTTTTAATTTTCCCCTTCTATTAAAAACAGAATGGAAGCTGGGCTAATCAATTAGGCTGCCTCATGTGGATTAGGTGATGTATTATTCTCTCTGAGACCAGGGAAGTCATTTCAAGAATCCTTCTCTTTATGCTCTTTGTTACATGAAGTAGTTACTTTTCAATCATCTCAGTGTTTATTCATGATATTCTGTTTTTTTTGCTTTTGTCTTACTTCTTGAAAACATATCACCTTAGGGCTCAGTTTCTCAGTTCTTCAACAGTTCCTCCAGCATTTACACGGAGTTACTTTCCAAACGCTGTCTTGGTGCCCAGGGTTTCATTTAAACCTGTTTTGAGATATTGCGGAACCTGAAGGATCTTTGCTTTAAAAAAAAAACCTGACAGGAGGAGGTTAGATTTGTCTGTTCAGTTCAGAATTTGTCAAGACAATTGGCCTCTCTCATGAACTACAATTGTAGCACATGAGAGAGGCCTACATTGTAATTCGATTAAATCAACTCAATTTTATGTATCAAGTGCCAATTCATGACTTGCATCGCAGGGCTATACAAAGTCTGCCTTGAAACCCAAATTAAGAATAAGAAACAAATAAAAAAACAAGAAAAATAACAAAGGAATATAAAAAGGCAGGAATATTTTTCAAGATGACAGTTAAACCTACAACATAGAAGTTAGTTTATCACTGAGTTTTAAAACCATTTATGGCTCACAATTGAATGTGGATGATGGCAAATATTTTTTACAGCAACAAAATTACTTCTCGACATGTCCAAAATGTGAGCACTGCTTGATCATACAGTAGGTCATCAAATTCTATGTTTTTGGACAAGTCTTAGTAGTTTCATATAAGATCTTTAAGCACATGTTTTGACTGTTGTCTGGCAGAAAGAGAGACAGCAGATATCCACTCATTAACATAAATTTCAGACAGGATGGGGCAGGTGACTTTATGCTGTGCCTGTGTGTGAAGCTTTAAATCTTACGTGTGCTGTGACTCAGAGATGGAGTAGGTGCAGAAAATGTAATGCTTTTGTGAGATGCATGTGTTAGACAAAGACAAAGAAAAATGAATTCTTCCGTGCATCAGCCTTCTTGGAATTTCATATTGCAAATAATAAAAAAAATATTTAGTATTCAATAATCATTCTCAGGTACAAGTTGTGTGATTTTTTTTTCTTACATTTATAGTGGCTTAGCTATAAATATTTCCTACAGCTACACTGGAAAAGCTGTGCTCATATAAAGGATTTTTGGAGTCCATAAATCACTGTGTGATGCACTGCATTCTAACATAGGAGTTAATGGCATTTTAGCCAGATTTGTTTTTATTTTATGATCAAGATTCTGAACCTACTCCTGAGTGCAGAAAATAAAAAATACAGTGCCAGCTACATCTAATTTTTATTTGTGCCACAACAGCAAAAAATACTTTCACTTTAGAAATTCAGGTCTACAGTATTAGATGAGTTTTTTTTTCTAATTTTATGGGGTTCTGGATTTATAAATAGAACTTTGTAATACTTGATCACAAAACATCATTACCCTAATGAGTTGACAATATGTTAACCCTGGGTCTACAGTATATTTTGCCTAATGCTATAGGAGCCGTTACAGTTAATTGAGCTCATAATAAAAAAATATGCTGTTGATCTCTCATGGGACTTTTGCATGTGTTTCAATTAAAAAAAACCTGACAGCATAACAATGGCCTCAATTATCTAGCACTGTGGATTATCTGCACTGTCTTCACAGCTGACACCTGTCATTGCTGTGCCTACACCATAAAGGATTCATTTTTTGCTTTGTGTTATTAGTTGCATTTTGTCAGGAATGCCAGAATTCATCACTTATTCCTACATTTAAATGAATATAACCAAACTATTGTCGCATTGAAACAGAACAAGAATAGAGTGAATGAGATGATGATTCACAGTGCTAACAAAAGAAGCTTTGTACACTTTTGTCTTCTGTATTGCTTTTTGAAGTGAAGACTTGGTAACGATGATATGACAGTTATTTACTTAGCAGATATCCATAGTAGTTTACAGTGACCTGAAGGGTGAACTGGCATCTGGTACTTGTGATGCAATGTCACTTACAACAGAAATCTAGTCTTAATTCTCATCAGAAATAAGCAGCAGAACATAAAGTAACCTGCTCAAGATAACACACATTGGTTCAATAGCAGATATACTTCCTGGTAATAAGACCTATTACCATAACACTCTTCATCTCCTTACCGTGGGAAAATATGTTTCTTTGTAAATGGACTTTTAAATTACCTTTTGTTTTATCTGTGTTCTTCAGAATTGATCTGTATGGTTTGCACTATAGTATCTTTTCCTTTTTTTTACTTTCTCCCTCAGTTTCTGTGCCTGAAGAATATCCGGACGTTTCTCAAGGTTTGCCACGACAAGTTTGGACTACGCAACAGCGATCTGTTTGACCCCTTTGATCTCTTTGATGTCCGGGATTTTGGGAAGGTAGGACCTTATGGCCAAAGTGTGTTACACATGTTGTCATCAGGGGAAGTGCCAGGGGTCTCAGGTTTCAGGTAACAGCAAGTCACAGGTATATAAAGATAATTAACTAGAGCCATGGCTTCTTTAAAGATGATGACCTGGGACTTGCACCTGTTTATTTTTAATTGCTTGCTTTGTATTTCCATTGACAGTGGTAAAAACAATCTCTCTGCAAAGTTCAGCTGCAATGTTAATCTCCAAAAAGCCTTGGAGTGCATAAAGTGCTTGTATCATTTTAATTGACATTTAATTCCAATGCATATTTAAATAAGTAATGAATGGTTCAGTGCACTCTTGCAGCAGAGTTAATTGGCACTGGTCTCACACCAAGAAATAACAACTTTGTAAAGTTTGCCTTCAAGCCTGAATTAACCAATATAATGACCAGAAATTTAAACTTCCCTGCTTTTTACATCACATGAAAACTCTATTAAGTTCTTCAGCAGCTGTCTTACCAGAAAAAAATAGAAACCAGCCTATATGCAGCTTTTAAAAAAAAAAACCTTTCTGTTCTTTTTCTGTAAACTACCTGGGGTTATTGCGTTTCTCAGTTTCATTGTTGAAGAAAAATGTAGTATCTCAGTGCAAGGACTATAAAATACAGTCTGGAAGGTTGTGGTTTCAAATCCTTGCTTTTGACCCCTTGACTAAGATATTTCTTTCAGATTGCTGCAGTAAATGTCCTGATGTGTAAATGTGTACTATTAATGTACATTATTTTTTTCTCAATTGATTAGGTAAATCCTTTTTAACATAGAATTACCTTCATAAATGGTGTAGTTGACTTCCCTGCATTGAGGCCACAAATACAGGATTTTTTTTACATGGATGATTTTAAAGTTTTCTGATTGTAGATCAGTTCCTGCAGTCCATTCCAAAATAATATACAGTACCTTGCAAAAGTACTCAGACCCTTGATCAATTCTCTCATTTTACTGAATTACAAAAATCCTATTTAGTTATATATAATATTTATATTTCAAAGCACTGAACCTCAAAATTAATTATTTAGTGTGCCATTGTTTTATGTTAAAAAGTATTCTTAAGAAAAAAAACTGAAATACAGTATGCTTTTTGCATAAGTATTCAATTCCCACATGTTCATAATTTGAAGAGCCACCTTTTGCAGCAATAACAGTCTTTTGGGGTGAGTATGTACCAGCTTTGTACACTATTCAGAAATGATTTTGGCCCATTCTTCCAGACAGATTTGATCCAGGTTGTTCAGGTTAGTCGGATGATGCCTGTGCACCGTGATTTTCAAATAGTGTTACGGATTCTCAATTGGATTGAGATCAGGGCCACGACTGGGCCATTGTAGGACATTCACCTTTTTGTTCTTGAGCCACTCCAATGTTACTTTGGCCTTGTGTTTAGAAATAATTGTCCTGCTGAAAGATGAACTGCCTCCCGAACTTTTTCCCAAAAAGTTTTCTAGCAGACCGAAAACAGATTCTTTTGCAGTATTTCCCTGTATTTTGCACCATCCATTCTTCCTTCTGTGATGCCCAGTCCCTGCTGATGAAGAGCAGCCCCACAGCATGATGCTGCTACCACCATACTTCACTGTAGGTATGTTGTTTTTTGAGGTGTGGGCAGTGATAGATTTGCACCACAAAATCATTTCCCACATCGCAACTGGGTCACTATCAAGCTTTTTGGCAAATCCCAGATGTGCTTTCACATGGTTCTTTTTGAGTAATGGCTTCTTTTGTGCCACCCTCCCATACAGGCCAGTGTTATGCAGAGCTTTTGATATGGTTGACTGGTGCACCTTCACTCCGCTCTCAGCCACTGAATTCTGTAGCTCCTTCAAAGTGATCAGTGGCCTCCCTGTGGCTTCTCTCACAGGGTTCCTTCTTGTTCGTACAGAGAGTTTTGAGGGATGACCTTTTCTAGGCAGTGTCTGGGTGGTTTGATGTAGCTTCCACTTCCTGATAATTTAACCAACAGTGCCCTTCAGATTCACAACCTGAATAATGATCAGAAATAAAAGTATCACAGAGAACAAAATTTCAATGTAGAATTTGTAATTCAGTAAAATGAGAGAATTGGTCAAGGATCTGAATACTTTAGCAAGACACTGTATATTTTAAAGATGAATTGTGGAGCAGTCCATAAACTGGTTCTGTAAACTTGATGTGAATGGTATTTAAAATTCACTGCTGTCTAAATTTAAGTATCAAAAAGATTTGTTTTAAAGTAAGAGATTTATGCCATCACTGGTTTTCCATGATGATATGAGTTTTCCATCTAAGAATAAACATGACCTTATACTTTAATTAATTGATAGTGTTTATAATGCACTACTTATGCTGCACAAATCATAGTAGTCTTTATGTTCATATCTAAGACACCATTACAGTATTTTGGTACAACAGATTGTCTTGTGTCAGATTAAAGTGTGTGATGGCTTTCCATATTACATACAAGAATCATTTGCTAAAGTTAATATATTGGGAGCAACAATACATACATGTCAATATATTCAATACGATTCTGGAGAGCCAAAGAGTCATCTTGTATTCAATCTACCTTTTGTGATTAGTTAATCAAATTAAATTCTTTTGAAATCCAGAAATTGTATCATTTTCCTAGGTACCTAAAGTGGGTAATGTTGTTTGTAATGCCTTCTAGATGGTAGTTCTTGAGAACTGGAAGGAAAAAAAAGATTGTGTGATGGTTTTTGACAATGAGCAGTTTATACCTTAACCTTTTAAACTGACACTTTCCACTTTCCACTCTGGTTATGGTGATAATTCTGAGTGTCAAACCATGCTCTTGAGCCAAGGGAGGTAAGAGCACAAACTGATAGGAAAGGGGGAGAGAGCAGAGGGATTCAAATGTGCTTTTTCACACCAGTTAACCTCTAGAGCACTCAGTGTGAATGCTTGCGCGGGTGTGTTTGATGACCGCCCTTTTCCAAAAGACACATAATTGATGCTGATCATCTTGTGCTTTCCTTAGAAAGTCGACAGGGCGCTATCCCAGAGCATGAATTATTGCAACTCTCAAAAGGAGAGTTCTTGAAAAATAGCAGATGTTGGCATTAACATTAATCAGCTGGGCCTTGCTCCTCACCCCAAGCTGTCAGCAATCTGTGAAGCTGGGATAAAATTTTCATAATACGGTGTCGCGTCCCCTATAATTATTCGCTTTCGGCTCTTGTGCAGCACAAAAAGAGGCACCTGCCATCCCAGGTTCTGCAGCCAGTAATTAGCACTGCTAAACACTCCTGTGCCCTGGCTCTGGGCCAAGAAGAGCAGGCAGCAGATCAGGTACTCCCCACCACAAACTGGCCACAACCTTCTTTCCTTGGTTCATTGTGAATGCATGCACCTTGCTCTTCAGAGACTAGTGATTCTTTGAATACTGATGGCTCAAGGCCTCCTCATTATCAAGCAAACTGCAAATGAATCTCTAAAAATTGGATGTACGTGTCTTTGCATTTTTTCTGTATATCAACATAATAAATATTTTCTTTTTCATCATATCTGTGCCAGGGTACCTTTCCCACTAGCCGGGTCTTATTTTCTATTAAAAGTATAACATCCCGCTTCCTTTTACATATTTGTACATGAACACGTTTTTCAGGTTAATATAGACATGGACAATAACTAGATATCTGGATGGATCTGGTGAAAATTGTTTTGAAGCTCCTTAATGTTGGCACTCTTCTTGATTTGCATCAACAGATTAAATCCTTCAAGAACTACAGATACAGTTTTAGTTTAGGTGACTAATGCTGAAGTGCACAATGCACAGAATCTGAAATAAACCATGTGGAATCGTATTGCTTCTACAGTGCTCCATTAAAAGCAATATGTTCAGATGATTGTGTCTTCCGCATACAGCAAAGTATTTTACAGAGCTTATTATGGAATTTAATCAGTTTTAAAAAGGTATTTTTCAAAAGCCATAGAATTTATTTCAAACTTCCAATTTTGTTTCCCCAGATTGTTCTTTACAAACAGTATACTGCATTTATGGAAAGGGTCAAAGTAAAGTGCCCAATGTCTACTGTAAACCAAGGTGCTGGAAAACATTTGCAGTCTTGGAGTGGCACGGTGTCTGGGGTTTTTCATTCCACCTCTGGTCGTACTGACCTGATTGAACTTATAAGGATCATTTTAACATCATCTCAATGATTTAAAAAGGCCTACAAAAACCTGCTGGATTCTAACCTAGGTGTGCATTTATGTCCATGTACAGAACATGGTGCTTACCTAGAAGTGCTACTTCACGGTCATCTCCTTTTCATTACTGTACTAAATTGTAAAGTCATGTAAATATTAGAAAACTTGCAAACTCCACACAAGCAGGCTTTTAAAGCCACAATCTAGCCCAGGATCTTGGGGCCTGTGCAGTAACAGCATTAACCACCATGCAGTCCTTATACCCATTCAAACTGGCTAAAATACTACTACATTCAGAAGCAGTAAGCAGTTCTACAGCATTAATAAGTGGTCTCTTTACTCTGTGTGAGATTGTTGCATGTTCCCTGCTAAAGGTAGTGAGGTGCAGAGTGCTGATAACATGAAGTGGATTTCTTCAAGGCAAATACAATAAGCATGTGCAATGTGTCCTGAGCACCAGCAGAAATAGCAGTAGAGCTGTCTGACAGAGTCTGCTGCTGATTTGTTGCAAAGTGTTTTTGATGAGGCCTGGACTGACACGGGCAGCTGCTGAAGCATCAGTCGGAGAAGCTCAATTGTGTTAATCAACGTGGTGCTGCAGCTGCAGCTGTGCTCTGTGCAGATCGCTCCTTAGGCCCGAGAGGAACGTGCTTCAGTGGACTTGAAATATTGTAACCAACAGGCCTGAGCGTAACTGAAATAAATAGAATAAGCTATCTGTCAAGTCTCATTCTTTTTTATAGACGAAACCTTGTTGTGGTTAATTATAGGGTTTGTGCTGTAGGAGTGGTTCAGAGCAGGTGTGGTGTTATTAAAGCAGATGCT